AACTTAGTCAACATAGTTATTACAACAACATTTATCAACAAAGCGAGCGAATTATTGACACAAATGTCAAAAGTCAATAATTCGCTCGCTATTCGGATGATAAAATTTGTCTATCTTTGCAGTTCTAATTTTAAATTTTTAATTGCTGAAAGTTTTATCTTTTAACGAGCTACTCTTATCTGCCAATTCAGAATATAATTCTGTTTAATTCATTCTTGAGTTTGTTTTAAATTTAAATATTGTTTGAAAGTTTTTTCTTTACTACGAGCTTATACCATATTAAGTAGTTCTACTGCTTTGTATTCTAAAAAAGCAATAGGGCTGTTCAGCATGTTGTGGAAATGGTCTGGGATTTGCAGTTGGAATTGCATTTGCAAAGTTTATGCTGGCTGTGATTGCAACTGTGTGCATTTTATTGTCGTGAATTTACAAATGCAACGAATATGCAAATGCAAGAGCATGTGCACAAGATCCTGAACTGCCCTAATGTGGGTATAAGTTTGATTTAATTGTTTATATAGACAGGGTATGCATAGCGCACATATGACTAACATGACATATATGTGTGTATGATAAGATGCGCAATCCATGGTGTCGCCGCTAAATTTGCGTTAAACATACATACATATATTAGTACATATTAAAGAATCGGTGGCGGCGGCGACGCCGGCGCATCTGGAGAGGCCGGCGCCACTGCCCATAAGGTAGATTCCAAAGAGCCGTGAGATTACTAATCTTATCATCATTATAATTCTCTTTAATTCATTCTTTAATTAGTTTTAAATTTAAGTATTGTTTCTTTCTACTTGAATTAAAATGTTGAGTGCCTAGCGCTGAGGGATGGGCGAACGAACACAGGAGGTTCTGAGGTATATGGGGCGTTCCATGCCATGACGGGGTTCACAGTTCATACGTTTGATTTGTTTCAATTTTTTAGGATTGATGCATAAACATAAATAATAAATAAACATGAAATTTGAGCTTGATTAATACATTTCTTTATGTACACCGCTCAGGCCAATTTCTGCCTCAACCAACGTACCATGCTACAAACTCTCCAAATTTATAGGGAAATCGATTCCCACGAATACAATGTCAACAATTGGTTCCAACTTAAAGACAGATTAAAAACCTTAGGATTGAAGAAGGCGAAATCCTTATTTCATTTGACGTGGTATCCCTATTTACGAATATACCAGTAAAATAATATAATGTATAATAAATAATTGTAATTGGAGTTCCTCAGGGACCTTGGTCCGATTCTGTTCCTGATACTAATTAATGATATTTCTTCTATAATAAAACATTCAAAAATTTTAATGTATGCCGATGATGTGAAACTTTTTAAAACATTGTCCTCTATCGAAGAAAGGTCTTTGTTACAAGCGGATCTGAGCAACGTGGTTAGTTGGTGTAATGCAAACTATATGCCACTAAACCTTCAAAAATGTAAAGTTATGTGTTTCTCTCGGAGGGCTGTTCAACCAGCTGTTTATTCAATATCAAATTATAACCTGGAGCAGGTATCCGTTTTTTGTTACAGTCAATAAAGCCAAAGACGTTTTTGCATTTGTAAAGCGATGGTCAAAAGAGTTCAAAGATCCTTAAGTTACAAAAGCTCTTTTTACAACTTTAGTTAGACCTATACTAGAATACGAATGTATTGTTTGGAATCCCCGCTACCAAGTTCATTCAGAGAGGATTGAATCAATTCAAAAACAATTCTTGCTTTTTGCGTTGCGTGACTTTAACTGGGATTCAGATTACAATCTGTTTCCACTACTCTGAAATCTGAAAAATTCTTAATTCGCAACGCAGCAAAATACAATTCACCACTGAAGCAGACGACGGAAACAAGTCACCATCCTAGATGTAGAAATTCACCGTTTAAATAACATAATACAAACGAATTGGTATGCGAAATCTGTAGCATCCTCCAGAATGATCAGTTATCATTCCAACCATCCGTGGGCGCAAAAGAAATAAATAAAATAAAAAAAGGTTTTAATATACCACGCTTTTATAAATGGACTAAAAATTATAAAATAATATTTCTTAGTCCCATAGAACTTGTTTTGATAACTTTTGATTTTGAAATTTTAGTAAAAGTATAAACCATTTATGAGATTGAAAATGAAAAGCGTGGGACGGATGTAATAGACCTGAATTGATATGAAGGGTAATATATTTCAAATCTATGTCAACCCGAAACTACATACAAACAACAAAAGGTACACAGGCGTCACAGATTAAAGGACAGTAAAACAATACAGAAAAGCATCCAAAACAAAGCACATAAAGGGAGGTAAAATAACACAAACGGCAAAACGCAAATTTGTGTTATTTCGCAATTGAATGTAAAATAACAAAAATTTGCTTTATTTCATTTCTCGTTGAGCAATAAGACCAACTTTTAAACTTAACAATTGAGTAATAAAGCAAGATAGTGCACATAGGTAGTCACCAAGTTACATTTGACATAAAGTAGTACATGAACAAGTTAAACCGCGTTCGAGGTCGTACTCGCGCTCGCGTCACCCGCCGCCTCCCTTCCTTTCGTAATTATTAACTGGTGGCATTATAACCGTTCAAAAAAAATAGTAATAATAAAATTACACTAGTTCACTTCTGAAACTGCTTTTCAATGTCCAAGTAATGGCAATTATTCCATATGGTGTTATTGTCAGCACCCCCGCCATGGTGGAATTATACCAGGTGAAGTAATATTAGAGAGAGAAGAAAGATTTTTTTATTTAAAAATTTGCCTACAAAATGTGACTATAAGGCAGCCGAATGTCAGAAAATAAAGCGAGCAAGCTGTTTTATTACTTCACCTTATGATAAAAATATTTTTATCATGCTTCACCTGTTTATTACGCCATTCATCCCACCTACTTGTACCAAGTATATGTCCAAATTTATAAGTCTGAGAGTAGGTAAAATTTTACATATTTTTACATCACTATTTCGTACCACATGTTCGCTCCGTCTTCGTAAGCGAAATCCACAGTTCGGATACAGGAACAGGAACCGCAACTGTTGTTTGTTCCACGCCATGGCGGGATTATACCATGATGCAATAATACAAGGTGATCTAAGTTGTGACAGCTCGATTTGATACTGCCTTAGCTCAGTAGAATAAGAAGAAATACGGAAAGAAATTAATCCCGATTCGGGGGAAAAATATAAAATTTTATATTTTCTTCTAAACAAAATTTGCTATTTTATAGTAATTCGTAATGAAATTAAATAAAATAAGATAAAATACCTGTTTAAGAAAACAAAATGTGTATACTGAGAAAAAATAGAAACATTCAACTATATTATTAGGCAAAGAATTGTTTAAGAAGTAACACTGTTTCACCTAAGGCAGTCAATATGGCGGAAATAGAGCGAGAAGCTGCCAGCCGATAACACCTTGTATTATTGCATCATGGAATTATACCAGGTGAAGTAATTAGAGCGAGGAGAAAGATGTAGACACTTCCTTATCAGTGTTGCCGCAACGTCATGAAAAAATGTATCGTAAAAGAAACAAAATATGGATCAAGTGTATCACATATTTTTTATTTAAGTATCAAAGTATCAATTTCGAAAAAACTTAAAAAAATGCTATTTGGTTTCATACCTTTGCTTATTATTATTATAATTTTTGTGTTTTTGTATTAGATCTATACATAGTATAAAGGAAAGTCGAGATTTTTTGTACGCGGTAATCTCGAAAACTACTGAACGGATTTTGATTTTATCTAATTTACTCTGTATCGACAGGAGAGGGATCTTTTTTTACTTAGAATTTTAATAGGGTTGCTACCTGTCTAAAATACTATAAGATCCGCACCGTTCGTTGGATTACAAAAGATGAGGTGTCAAATGAAATGGCTTGGCCTCTAGAAAAGCACTAATATTTGTTTTTGAATAGGATGGCCACCTGGTAATAAAATTAACATATTCAATCATAATAAGCGTAGGCATCAGTTCTGTACCGTCACTACCAAATGAAAAGACTTAGAAAAACCATGTAATTCGCATTCATATACATACATATCGAGGGCTTAAATTCAATACCCTCTATCTGCAATTTTCACAAAATAATGTACAACAGGAGAACAGACGAGCAGAAGTACACTGCAATATAAAGAAGTGTGTATAAGAAGTGTGTGTTTTTTGTTATATTTTCTTTTTTTTATGGTTAATGTAAGTTATGTTTTTCAGCAAAAAGTTGTTAGACCAACGAATTGTTATTGTTATATTTTTTTATATGCATACATGTGTCCCTGATTTTTTGTTTTTTATGTTTTGTTTTTAATAAACACCAGACTCCCTGAGGAAGATGTGAAAAACATCGAAACGTGTAGGAGGAAAAAGAAACATTGTTTGCTTTTTATTTAACCGGTCGAGGAGCTCATTAAACTACCCCACAGAAAATTTAAAAATTGGTCCTAGAGACATAAAAATTTAAATTAAACTTATTAAGCAGGTTGCAACCCTTTTTAAACACCTCAAAAATATTCTTAATGTTCAAACTAATGGTTTCATAACACTATTTGGTTTGATATATACTAATACTTCATTGTGTATAAGTTAACTAAATTCGGGCAGGTGCCAATCCCCTTTAAAATATATATAAACTACTTCTTAATCAACAATTTTCCTCTGGCACCCATATGATGATATGTATTTCTATTACCTCAACCATTTCGATTGATACCTGTAATAATCAGTTTACCTTATTAAATAATTTGAATTACATTTTTTAAAAGGTGGCAACTTTTCTCGAAAAGAAGAAACCTTGTTGCACATCTACAGCCTGAACCCTTTAATTTTACACCTAATTTTTAAAAATCGAACGAACGGTGCAGATCTGATGACCTGGACAAAAAATCCCTTCGCGTATTATATATATAGATTTTAGACTGGAAGTTCGATTCTAAAACATTTTTTATCTACGAGTATTTACTTAGTGTCCTAGGATTTATACTAACTTTTTTACATTTCAGGTTTATAATCACACATTCGGTTGCGCGTGAGATATGCGGGAACACAGACACACAACACCTCGCCGACGCGGGCCAATGTTTCCTCTACCGGCTCCACGAGGGGAACATTATGGAGAGCAATCGGAAGTATCGGAGTCTCCATATTACACCATTGATAATACGGAGGATATTTACGGAACCACGCTTTTGCCATCGCAACGTTGCTATGTGGATCCATGGGATTTGGAAAATTACGACTACGTCAGAAAGTAAGTTCAGATCTTTATTGCAGTAGACACCTATTTATACAAAGACATTGAGGTATATAGTAAACAAAAAAAAATTAGGTGCATTTTCACTCGTATGTTTCCCTTCGTGTTTTCAGGAAACTAAGCTCCACGCCAGTACGTTCTTCGCCTGAGCCTTACTATGATACGTCGTTGTCGACTAGTCCGTATTACATGATGACATCTTCGCCGCAAGAGCTGCATGACGAAGTTCGACTGGCCCCGTCACAACGTCTAGCTGCCACTATACCACGAAATAGGGGTCGCTCCCACTGGAACGAGACATGTCATCTAGACTGCTGCATTTCACCAGTGTCAATGCAGCGTCGTCGCTACGAAGATACTCGCAGTGACCTATATGGCGTGGGTCACGGAAAATATGAGGATTACATGTCGCATATGATGACAAGCTTAGAAGCGGAAGAAGATGTATATACTGGTTATGGTGGTAAATACAATATGATCCTTTTTAAATACATGCATACGTATGTATGTTAAGATATGTGTTCTTAAATCATAGGTGTCTCTTCGTCCTCCTCCACTGAAGTGCAGAGCTCCATCGACGAGGAACATACTCAAGCATCAGCAATGGCAGTGAACAAAACTTCCGGCTATAATACCACGATGCGACGACGCAGTGGTCCTGCATGTGAAAAACCTGCTCCATATTTGGAGTTTCCAGCCCCTCCATCTCTACCTCCTCCACCCCTCACTTTTGACTACTCCAAACCTTCTGCAGCCTCACCGTATTATAGCTCAGCAGATTGTATGGATTGCTCAATGATCTATGCCACCTCTCCTTCGATTTACGGTTACATAGATCGGAGTTATAAAGGAAGTACCATTTATGGTAGTACCATAGGGCGGAGACCGTCTTCGTCGCTCTGCAGCGGAATATATGGACATAAATTTGGGTTGAGCAAAAAAGGACTTTTGCAAATCGACTATTCGTGCAGTTGGAATGATCTAGATCGCATTATTGGCCGTCACTACTGAAGAAAATTATCATCCTGAGTTGAATCACTCACTTATTTATATTTGAACAGTATACTTTATATCGTTTTTGTTGTAAAATTACATAACACATCTTCATATATGTATGTTTATTATTTAGTCACACAATACCAAAAGAAATAAAAAATTATTAGTCCAAAATTAATAATCGTTATGTCACCAGTAATATATCCCCTTCATGCTGCGCCTACGCAGTACCTACACCAACCTGAAAATTTCTGGCATTCCATTCTAAATTGGGATGGCTGCGATTAATCATCTGATTAAATTAAAAATATTTTCAAGAAATATGAATTCTGTATTTGTCTAAAATCCATCCATCCAACATTATATTTTACTAGCTGCATTTACAGGTACTTAGTATAAAAATAAATTACATTCTCTAATTCAATTGGTATATTTGTCTTTGTGGTTCAAACAAAGTATAACCGTTATTTCTTATGCTTCGGTTTGTATATAATATTGCTGCAACTATATCAGTGCTCAATCTGGTCCTCAAGTCAGTCCTACACAATTATAAACCACTAAATGTACGTTCTACTGAATCATTAGACAAGGGCTATATTAGTAATGCAGATATAATTTTTTTTAATTGAGAAACTTATATGAACCTGAAGAATCTTTTAATTCAAAAACTTTTCCTATAATTTTCTGCATCTAATGAGGAATCAATATGAATATCCTTAAGATTGAACAATGCGCGTTCTCCCCATTCTTTACCGAGATTTTGCAAGTTTAAAATAATAATCGATAACATTTTGAATATTTAGCAGTAAATACAGATGTGCCAGAGATAGAAAAACACCACACAAGCGGCTTGACAAACCAAGCGAAATATCCATTTCCTTAAAGCTATTTATGTTGTGTATGGGGGTGTTTCAAGGTTTGACAAGCCGTTTGAGGAAAATGTGAACAAAAATCAAATTTTTTTGATTTTCTGACCGCCATGTTGACATTTGATCAAACCGCTTACGTTGTGTATGATAAAATCGTCTCATTAGCAACGGAATGAGGACGCGAGAGAGAAAAATCGAAAAAACCCAAACCCTTTTACATTGTGAACCGGAAGAAAACTAAAATTCTTTGCTTGAACGAGTCATGTTTGCATGGTGCATGGCGAAATGGGAAAAGTGGGTTTGCAGAATGTTTGACAAGCCACTTGTGTGGTGTATTTCGCTCTTTATAAAACTTCGGAAAGCTTTTTGTTCTAAAATTTGCAAAACGATTTAACAACTCTCTTGTGTAAAACATGGCTGCATTTGTTATCTGCAAATATATCGAGAGAAAATTCCTCAAAAATTCCTCAAAATAAAAATCCTCAAAAAATACTCAAGCGCACCCGAAATTCCCGACGTTTTGAGGAATTACTCACAAAGTGGCAACACTGTTGGTAGCTGTGATATTTCAAAAGTTTAAAATTTATCTACAGTGTAATTATCACCGCTAAAAATTCTCGTTTTATTTTATTTAAGGCTAATTAACAAGAGAATTAGAAATTCGTTATGGAAAGGTGTTTTTGTGAATACTCACTGTAAAAAAGTGCCTGTAAAAATTCGATTAATCGATTTCTTCTCAATAATCGCAATTAATTGCAATTTGTAATGTTTATCTAACTACTCTCAGGGGTGGCAACCCGGGTTGTAATAGACGAAATGGCAGTCCTAGTTGTAATCGCAGCAAATATGACTCACTTCCGATTGTACTTTTCACTAGAGCTGTCGAAACTTCGAGGTACTGGCCCCTATTATGAGTTGCATTCGATCTTCGACTGTGGTCGAAGGTGCTGATCGAACGAATTTTCATTTGGTATTATGGCGCTCATTCGATGAATTGTGAATTTGCTCGTTTAGATTGTTCACAATAGTATATTTTTCACCGCTCAGAAGCTTTGTTTACAAATCGAGCAAACTAAATAGTGTGCTTATACATATGTACATATGTAATTTTGTACAAATTAAAGTGAAATAAAAAAGAAAGCGAGTTAAGAAAAACGTAAGAATTAGTACAACCGAGTTCTGGTTCATCGATTCGTCAGAGGACGAGAGCTTAGAAAACTGGCCAGGACCAGAAAAGGTTTAAGAGAGTTTAAGTGTAGTCTTTCGAATATATTTTGACATACAATATATTTAAGAAATCGGCCGCTGTGGTGTAATGGTAAGCAGTGCGCGCTTCCACACCGCTGTGCCTGGGTTCAAGCCCTGCTCAAAGCCACATCGCAAAAAAAATTTAGAAGAAAGGGTTTTTCTTAACAGCGGTCGTCCCTCGGCAGGCAATGGCAAACCTCCGAGTGTATTTGTGCCATTAAAAACAGCTTCTCATTAAAATACAATCGCCGTTCGGAGTCGGCGTAAAACTGTAGGTCCCTCCGCTTTGTGTGACAACTTCAAGGCGCACGCCACAATTTGGAGGAGAAGCTCGGCCAAACACTAACATATGTGTAAGCGCCAATCTATTATTATTATTATATTTAAGAAATTTTGTGATCCAAATCTTTTTAAAATATATTAAAACTCTAAATAGCTCTATGATTTTGTTCTCAGAGATCGTGCCAACAGAGTATTGGGATTTTCTTTCACAAGAAAACCAGCCTTTCGCGCTTGTGTTTAGTATTCACGACGTTAGAGCTGCATGAAATTAATAATAAAAAATTAAAATTAGTGTCTAGCCGCCAAAAAGTAAGAAAATAAATGCGAAATCATGAATTTTTCACAATTTTCTAACACTTCGCTACACCATCGAAAGCAAAATTCTGTTCGACAGAAAATTCGATACTCAACAAAAATTTCGACACGCTTGCTTAGCTTATAATACGCATTTCCCTTTCGATCTTCGATAGCCAGCGAAGATAGAATATCGAATGCAACTCATAATAAGGGCCACTAATTAAAATCGACGTTAAATAAAGGCATTGCCAAGTACACTGTAATATTCAGGTATGGGGTTTACCCAAAAAGTAGCAAGACACCAATTTACATAAAAATTTTGTTGAAAAAAAAACGCCAGTTCAAAATGGCTCCTCGACGAGTATGGTCGTGTTGAACTGTCGAGTACTTTTAAAGCAAATATTGGATTAATATACACAGAAATAATGAAGTCGTTTCATTAAATATAACATATAAAGTTTTAATTCAAGTGAAGATAATACTTTAAAATAGTAATTACTTAAAAAATGTAATAGACGTTGACTTAAAGAAAATTAATATCACAATTAAATGGAAATGTTAAAGCCTACCGTTTAAACGGTACTATCGTACGTGCAAAGAAACGGAACAAGTAACAGTTCAAAGAAAATTTTTTTTTGTACTTCTAATATTGGAAATTATAACCTAAAAATATTTTGACGAATAGCTATAAAAGTATCAAATTGGAGGAATAACCTGGCGATATGAGGACGTAGTTCCCTGCCATCAAAATACAATCAATTATCAAACTGGAGGAATAAACTGGCGACATGAGGCCTTAGTTCCCAGCCATTTAAATACAATCTGAAAAATATATTTTGACATATAACCAATAATTATTAATCTAGAGGAATAACCTGGTTACTTGTGGACCATTAAAACACAATACACATTTTTAATTGATATAAATGATAAAGAATTGAAAATTATAAGACGCATGATACCAATATTAGCAGAAACTTTTGCACGTGGTTCTGGCCCTCAGTGGTATTACCATATGTGTATCAATGGAGCAACGTTTGGACGCATCAGTGAAATTTAACATATACATATGAAGAAATATATTAAAAGCAGAGGAATAACCTGGCGATGGTGAAAACCTGCCAACCTACCCAAAGTCCAAAAAAAAAAGAAAAAAAACCGCGGATAATTCGGAAACGGCAAAAAGGCTGCGTAGAGTGGACATTGTGAAGGTGTTGGAAGAGGGTGGTGCACGGTTTGATCCAGAGGCAACAATCATTCAGTTGCGCCCTATATATGACGAGGTTGTCGCTAGGATGAATGATGCAGCACATCACGACCGTGAACGGGCAATTGATGCAGAGGCAAGTGTGCTAAACGGGCCAGCGGGAAAACTTTTCGAAGAAGAAGAAGATATTGATAGGCAACTGGCGGTGCTCCGTAAAAAGCGAGGGCTGTTGCAGTTGCAGCGCGAGCTGCAAATACTAGAGAGTCGGCGTTTTGACTTCAACGCTTTTGAGGTCATGATTAGCCACTTCAGTGGCGAGGACACATATGAAATTTGTTAAAATGGTTTAATGATTTGGAGGATGCGTTTGCTGTGTTTAATTGCTGCGAGCGTGATAAGTTTGTGGGAATGCGGCGACTGTTGGCAGGTACGGTTCGAGTAATATCTGCGCACGATTCGGGCTAACACGTTGCCGAACTGAAAGAGGAACTAATCACTGAGTTCCAGCAAACGTTTTCCATCCAGGACGTATACCAGCAGCTTAAGGCGCGCGTATTGCAGCGGGGCGAGTCAGTTAAGCATTATATCTCGGTCATGGTTGAGATCGCTAGTCGTGGCAATGTGCCACAAATGGATGTTGTCGACGCCATCATCAATGGTTTAAATGACCGCTCATGGAACGTAATGCTACTGACTTGGTGAGTGTTGCCTTCAGTAAACAAAATAAGTGCATTAATATGAGTTCTGTTGCTTTATTTGATACGGGCAGCCCAATTACTTTTGTAAAGCGGTCTATAGTAAGGTGACCAGATTTTGTTTAGCATTCCAGGAGGACAAATTCTCCACATTTAAAACACAAAAAATGTGTCTTATATTTATCTTAACACATAAGTAACGAATAAGTTAACATTGTTAAAAAAGCAAAAACAATTCAAAGTTGCTCTAAACAAAAGTCAAACAAGCTAATAGTATACTGCGTTGCATAATTATAAGACCAAAACATATTACCGTTGATTTTTGGCATTTTTTTTTTTGACAGTGTTGTTCATTTTCACATTTCACATTTTTTTATTTATTTGGGCTTTAAGTATGAGAAAAACCTTTTTTTAACAAACTGCATAATTTTTGTTTGTTTGCACAGCGATAAACACCAAAGACTGTGTAAATGTTGGTTAGAAGCGATTTTTATGTATTC